AAAGTAAATATTTAGGTTCAGACAAATTAAATGTTTAATACAAATGTGAATTCTTTAAATTACTTTCATCCAAAATCACTGCCTCATAGTAGATAACCAAAAAAAAGGTCATAGGTTCTCCAGCTCTTTTGTCAATCTTAATCGGTATGGAGAATATTTCCCATTTGGAAACTCTTTAAAATGTACCATAGATAACATTAAAAAATAGGAAATTAAACATGTACACAAAGGTGTGATTTTTTACCACAAAATGTTTCATGTATAAAAGTTTAAATTTTCCAGGTAACATTTTTAAAAACAGATCTATGAACTAAAAACTAACCTATACTCTTGATTTCAACCACAACAAAGGGACAATCTAACTTAACAGCACTGAGTCTTTTATAGATTTTTACCTCTAGAAAATAAGACAAAATCGATCCACTGAATAATCAACAAAACTATACTTTTCCAGTATACAAATAACAAGACAAAATAACTATACAACTCCAAACTTTAAAGTTTCTTATGTTAATGCTAGAGTTACTGTATTTTCGGAAAATGCATCTTTTCTAAATTCTGTGTTGATAAGAAAAATCCTTAAAACTAAAAGTACTTAAATGAGGCAATTATCTATTTTGTTGACAATTCTCTTCCATTAATACACAGTAAGAGACACTAAAATATCCACTTGGTAACTTGGAGAGGGTTCCCCTTTTATTTCCTCTGGCTAACTCTTACTTATCTTTTAGGTGTCAGCTGTTATCTAACATCTTCCAGAGGCCTTCCCCAAATCCAGACTATATGTCCTAGTTACATACTACTGATAGCACTTTCTACTTCCACTAACAAAGCATTTAAATACATTGTATTATAACTGTCTAGCAATGACTGGCACAAGTAGATACTCAAATATATGTTGAATGAAGAAGTCAAAAGTAAAATCGTCAGAATAGCCTCAAAATGGTAGAGACGTCAACCCTTCAGAGTAGGCTACAGCTGTAAATAAGAGGTACAGGTAGGGGCAGATGCAGGTGGGCCATGGGTGAGTACAGTCCCTTGCTGAAGGAGAAAGGCTTTGCAAAGGCTTTTCAAAGTAGTATGATAGCCAAACAGGACAGTAAGCTGACTGCTGACACACTGACCCACTGACTATGCTGACACACTGACCCATTCACTTTTACAATGACATACATGATGGTTTAAACATTAGATGAGTCAATTTAAGAAAAAGGGAGTGCATTTTATTTTACTTAAAAGAAAGAGTCATAAACTGTATAAACCTCACCTGTCATGGGATCAAAGAGCTGATTAGCTTCTAAGTCTGTGAAAGTACTACTACAGACAGGACATTTGAAGGAAGCCCGGTTGGTGGAATCTCTCTCATCTGTTTCAATCCTCCTTCTCATGTGATCCAATTTATATTTTACCACATTAACAAGAGTACGATAATTGATAAAGTAGTAGTTATGGCGCGTGGTTTTCCCATCTGCAGCAGTCTCTACCCTCATTCTGCATTTGATGAATTTGTCTCCCTTTAAATTATTCAAAACTGATCGAAGTTGCTTCCGATCAAACTTGAGCAACTCCAGCATATCCTCCTCTTTCACACAGGGGTTCCGGATCAGTATGTCCAAGGCCAAGGCGTGCTCGATGCCGTAAAACCCCCGGATCACATACTTGGCTAATCTCTTCAATGCTGCTGGAACCTCAGTGAGGACATCTGGATCTGCCATTTTTAGCAGCAAACTTCNAAAAAATAAAGCTATTTCTATATCATCTAGACTTAACATCTATAAAGAGATTAAGATCCCCCTCTCCCCTTTTGGGGAGGCATGTTGCTGAATTTAATCTAGAAGTGCCATTAACTAAATCACCCATGGCTGAGACTGCTTAAACAGAAATACTAAGTTTATTTACATTGTCAGAAAGCTTGCTAAATCTAAACATGCATTTATGAATCACAAGACGCTATTTTGCTGATTTGAGGGATTTCATGTCATAATCTTTTTTTGATTATATAAGCTCCTCCAACCCCCAATACTTTAGAAACTAAAACAGCTGGTTTTGCCTCATATTAAGCTTCTGAAACCAGGGACTAATGGGCAAAGGCTATGCTATTCCATTTTTAATGAAATAAAATATCTATACATACTAAGCATCAAACATTTGAAGAGACAGTTCAATCCAGAAACACCAAAAGCAAAATCTGAATGGAAGGTATGGAGACAATCTACAACCTTTAGAGAAAAGCAGAGATGGAGTAGGTAAAAGCTGTAAGCTGAAGTAGGAAGATCACTGACCTACGTATGAATTAACATTGGTAAAACAATCTTTGCTGGGCTCAGAATTTCCTGAGTCCAGTGGCAGAGAGCTGTCCATACACTTTAGTTAAGGACTTTTTATCAGATAAACAGTAAAGTCTAGAAGGCTTCAAATCTAATTCCTGAATATCCCCTAATT